TGTATATGGTTAATGACAATTGGTATGACAAATAATATTATCGAAAATAGTCATTTATTGAATGAAAATAAAATAAAATATATAATAATATAAAACATAATAATAAAATAAAATAAAACATATAATAATATAAACATAATAATAATTAAATAAAATAAAATATATAATAAAATAAAACATATAATAATAAAATAAAATAAAACATAATATTAAAATAAAATAAAACATAATAATAAAATAAAATAAAATATATTAAAATAATAAAATAAAAAATAAAAAATCAATGACATCGGTGAGAGCGCCTGCGTGGATTATAATCAGAATCAATTTAATAACTGATAGTACTTACTATATTAATTTTATGCATATTTACAAAAAGTTGTATTCTAACTATTAAACTGGTTAAGTTATAAACATGTGACTAGATCATCTGATATTAGATGGTGATAAATATGATGTGTTTTTAAAAAAGTTCTTTATTATCTTAATAATAAAAACATTATCACCAATATCTTACTTAGTATAAATTCCAATAATCTAATGTTACGTTCTATGTCAACATATCATGACGGAGAGGTTGAAAAGTTGTAAATTATCATTTCTAATTACTAAATTACTAGCACTTTCCTGCGAAATCTTTCACAACGCATAAATCCTAATTAAAGTAATGACGCCAAAAGAATGTTCTTAAGGAAATTTCTTTTGAATTTGTAATCTAAACATTGTTTACATTTCATTGTGTGGTGGAGTTTATATTCCTGAATGACATCGGTAAACAGGTTACAACAATATTTTTTAGAATTAACCTGTTTATAACTGGTAAGGCTAACAATCGATTATAGCAACAATAAACTATAAAAAGGAAAGTTTAACCAATATAATCCCATCATTTTTGATGACAAAGTATCAAATTTTCAGGGTTAAAACTTTAAGACCAATTTGTATATTCAAATCATTTAATTATGTGACAAAATCGAATTTTTTTTCCTTATTTGGAAACAAAAGCAATATTATTTTTTTTTGGCGTTTTTTCGAAAGACAACGCAATTACTTTATCAGGATTGTGGGCTGTGGCTTTACGGGTTGAGATCGTTATATAAAGAAGACTTGGACGGGGATATTTGCTTGAAAATAATTAACAACAAAATTTTTAAAACAATTCAATTTTTATAAAAAAAGGCCTATTTTTTTTTTACTTTAATCACATTAATTTTTTTTTAAAAAAAAAAAATGTCAAAACTTTCTTTCATCGCTCTTTTCATAATTGTCATTTTCGCTTTTCAAACGACAAACGTTAGCGCTGGACCAATCGCTTATGCTGTTTGTCAAACCGCATGTAATCTTGGTTGGGTTTCATGTTATGCGTCAGCAGGAATAGTTGCTGGTATGTAATTTATATAATTAGAATTCAATTTACTAAGAATTTCGTTCACTAAAAATTACTTTTTCAGGAACCGTCACCGGAGGTCTTGGTGCCCCTTTTGCTGCTATCGCTTGTAATGTTGCCCAAGGTGTTTGTATGGGAGCGTGTGCTGGCTTATTAGTTGCTCCAACTCCATAGTGAAAATGAAAATATATTATTCTTGTATATTTTATTTTTTTTTAAAAATTTATCAAATAACAATACATATATAATTTTGGTAAATTTGTTTCAAATTTACCTCAAAAAAAAAAGAAAAGAAAAAAAAAAAGTATATAATTCAAAAAAAACTAAAAAAATTATATATCCATTATATATTTAGTTTAATGTGGTTACAATGTATTTTTTATTAGGAAGCTCATATATGTATTGTAGGATTTATTAAGTAAAAATAAAGCTCTCTCGTTTTTTTTTTTTGCTTTTTATTTTATTTTATATATTTATAATAATAATACCATAGGCCTATAGCGATGCTTCAATACTGATTTCCTACTTAACGAGATCTTCACGAGTAAATCATTACAAAGCCACAATTAGTGAAAAATTGCGGTTATTAATAAAAATTACTACTGAGAATTTTTCATGCAAATCATTTAATTTTTCTGTTACTGATAAATTTTTTCGAAGTAAGCCATAACATAAGAAGAGTCTATTTTATCAGTTTATCAGTCACAATGTATCCGGAAAGGTTTTTACAAGTATATAAATTCTCTAAAACTTTTTCAAATTTTCTTCTTTCTCTAAAAAAATAACTTTCTAAAAAATCATTCTCAAAAAAAATTCATTTCTTTTATTCAATTATTTTAAAACAAAATCATCTCCAAAATGGAAATTGCTCGGAAATCTCGTTCTTTTACGATTAATATTAATGAAAACAACACTATTAATAATAATTCTAGTGTCCCGCTTAAAGTCCTCAAAATTGGACAGCTCAAGTATCTTATCTGGCATCAGAAAAAAGTAACATTACAACTCGATGACTATGACCTTATGAAACTTTGGATGATCGACATCTCTGAGTTTAAATCAGATACTATTGAAGAACAAATTAAAAAAGAAGTCGTCGAAGAGTTGGATCCTTTCAACTATCTTTCGAATTATTTTTCAGATCAAGCTGCAGCTAATAAAAGTATCATCATCGTGCAAGTGCCTGCCATCACTGGTAAGTGTCTCCCATTTGCGATAACAAAATATCGAATTTGATCTGATCTTTTTTTTATTACAAAAGGTACTAACTGTTGATACATATAGGTGAGGCACTGAGGCAAATGTATCGTTCTTATACGATCAGGTGCTATGTTCTTATACGACCTATATTATGTNAATAATATACAAAAATCATATGTTAAGGAGTTGCATTGTCTTTTCGCAAATTTAGTAATCAGTTACATATGAGTAAAAAGGTTTGATTGGGTTATTTGGATGCAATACAGTCAACTCCCTTTATAGTCACTCCCGTTATAGTCATATTCTACTATATAGTCACACCAGTTGAATGTTCAAAATACTTTATTATTAAAATCTATCCTATATAGTCACAATCTATCTATAGTCACTATCACACCTATTCTCAAAAATCTTATATTAAAAAGAACCGTTTATAATTACAGTTATATAAAGAATATATTAAATAACTTGGCATCTAATAATCGTACAAAGATGTATCATAGCTTGTTAGAATCGTCTCACTGAGACGAATCGAATGGTGGTAAGCTTATCTCTCTGTGATCAATATTGGCAGAGTTATTACACAAAAACCATTAATATTTTTTTAATTTCGGAAATTAATCTAGTGATTGGATTTTGACGTATTTTATACCATTAGAACCGTCTCATCAAGATGAATTGAATGGCAGTGAGATCATCTCTCTACGATTAATATTGGCGAAGTTACGTTACAATAAAGTTTTGAGTATAATTTTGGCTAAAATTATGTTAATTTTTGGCCGGAATTATGATATACTAATATAAGAAATTTTTTATATAGTCACATCTCTTTATAATATGGGTTGGTCACCCTATCTCAGTGGTTAGTCATTGAGATCCTCATTAAGCCTGAGTAGAGTTCCAATCCGTCATCTGACGGATAATCACATTTTGACAGTTGTACGCTCATTTAATTAATATAAAAGAGCATTTTTTTTTAAGGATATCCTAAGAGCATAATACAGTATATAATTTAATAAATAAACTTTTTTTTCAAAAATGAAAGTGATGAGAAATTAGGAACGGATTAAAATATCATCTGACGGATGAAAATTTCAATCTGACTAAGATTTCACCCCATTTATTTTATGTTCAATTAATTAAATAATGCATAGTCTGATCACCTTACATCGAATGCAGTTTCTAAATTATAAATTATGAAACATAAATGTCTCTTTCCAAAAATAAATGAGAAGAGATTGATCATCCGTCAGATGATGGATTGGAACTCTAAGCTAGAGTATGGTGAGGTTGCAAATTCGATTCCCATGACCACGGAAATAAAAGAATTTTACTGCGGACGCTACAACCAATAGCGTGAAGGTACAGGGATTAGTGTAGTTGGACTGCATCATGGTGAATTAGTGTGTACGGTTAGGCCGCACATTTCAACTAAGGGTCATGGTGTCCTTCTAATATTCCCTATGAGGCCATTGGTATGTGCGCAGTCCTGTCCTTGAGATCACTACTATACCTTGGGGGGACTTCCTGTACAGGTGGTCACTCAACGATACCACTTGGGGTCAGTAATGGCTAGATGGTCGTCCTAGATGGTAAAGCTGAGGGTGCAATGTCTTAGTGGTAGGTTGACCTTCTGTTAGGTCTTAGAATAACCACGGTGTTCGTGCACAGAACAGATAGCTTGGTGATTGGGTTCGATTTCCTTCTCTGATGGGTCCTGGTTGGTGATTCCTGGTGGTTGATACCCACCATAAGGGATGATCCTGGGTAACATTTACAAGCTTACTGTCCAGGTGGTCACTACAAAGTATACCACTTGGGGATTACAACTGTACTATCAGTGATGGTAATTGCGGGCTGTAGTGGTCTTTGAGTGAAACCTGGTACCTAATATGGTGGTATGGAAGGGGTCTAGATGATTGAAGGTTATCTGATGAAAGTCCTCCGTGACAGTAGTAGTGGTGAGGGGTTTATAATAGTAGTCATTACAGTATCATGCAACGGATTAAAGAATGAGTAGGCAGTGTTCAGCAGATTCGAAGGCCTTTAGGTCTCTGGGATATGTCCTTGCATTTCGGTTGTGGTGTTGAATTGTCCCTGTTAAAAAGTGGCAGGGATGGTTACATCATGGCTTAGTGAGGATGAAGCAATGAACTACTAACTTCTATAGCTTTTAATAGAGGGTGCGGAAAGTAGTGGGCATTAAACTTATAAAACACTTGTAAAATAATTACCAAATATGGACTGTACTAAATGGGTGACTATAAAGAGAGTTGACTGTAACTGTGTTATAAATGCATAGGGACCACATTATGTAATCGTAAAGAAATTACATATAGGGTTAGGGTTAGGGTTAGGGTTAGGGTTAGGGTTAGGGTTAGGGTTAGGGTTAGGGTTAGGGTTAGGGTTAGGGTTAGGGTTAGGGTTAGGGNCAAATGTATCGTTCTTATACGATCAGGTGCTATGTTCTTATACGACCTATATTATGTGACATATACGTCGTATAAGATAGTATGTCGTACACGTATAAGAAAGATACATTTGCGGCACTGAGGCTTATTGGAAAAACGTTTGCAAGACCTACGATTGGCTAAAATCCTTGTGTCAAAGTTCCAATAAAATTGCGACGCATAAGGTATGTTTTTTTTGTTTTCAACCTGTTGTATGTTTTCTCTATTTTCTGACTGCATACTAATTTATGAATCAATAAAAATATTATTTAAGGTATTTAAGGGTAGCAAAGGGCGAAATGGAATATGCAAAAGATTTGAAAAACGTAAATCAAAAGATCGAAACCTCCATCCTATCCCCCTTTTGGCCAATGGACCGGACACAGGCAGGAGCCGACTTCTTCAAGAATTGCCGACTTTATTACGTGAGCAAGCTAAAAATTATACGACTGACAATGAACTTCTGAAAATGATCAACAATCAAATGTACGCCATCAATGTTACCTTTGGCAATGATACTCCTGCATCAGATAAAGATGTTTGTTTATATTGGTCAATCGTCAGTTGCACTGCGTTTAATCTATGAGTACTTTATCTCTGGAATTATGCATTACATGATGGATTGTAAAAACAAATCACTCGAAATTGCGAACGCACTTGCTATATTCTTGAAGATGTTAACAAGGATAGGGATGAAAATAATAAAATTAAATTTTCGTTCTTGGCATTGGAATTATTCTATACAAGATTATTAGAGGAAATTAAAAAATCAAAATATGTGAATTACGTTCAGGCGTCAAGTATCGACTTGGAAAACTATATCCATTTGAGGAATTTAGAACCGCTATAACACCAGTAATTGCGGACGCTGTCCTTAACATTCCCGTAGAGGAAAATAAAACAGATGGAGGTTTATCTTATGTTGATCTCTCATCAAAAGGCATCCTAAATTTGGAATCAGCACATAACAATGACCTTTTTTATGTTCGCATGCCGTATCTATGGTTGTGGATACTAATATCATATAACGAATCATTTGAATTTTGGGAAGTTATGATTGATCAAAAATCGCATGTTCTATGGCAGGATTCTGAAGATTTCAACATGCGATTTTGGCTTTACGCCTTCGACTTCTTTCAATATTGGATAAAATGTGAGAATTCGAGATCTCTTCCGTGGTGCACATTTCCTTGATGATTTTTCGTTTTTAGATAATGTAAATTACAAATTTGTCCTTCCCGATGCAGATTCTATTAAATATCATGAACTTGAATACCAATATCCTTATACCGTGCAACAAGAGCACTTGTCGCTTGGTACTGTATATAAGAATTGTCCAAATGCTCCTTGGGATGTTTTCTTTTTTCTGGAGAATTGCCTTTTTGCGATCCGAGTAAAGGCTAAACAACCTCAAGTATTAAATAAATCAATGATAAATGGTGAGTATGCCAAAACAGAAGCAGGATTTAAAGAGTTAAGTGGAAAAATTCCTGGGATTGAGAACTGGATGCTTTCATATGTATAAGTGGAAGTATGACAGAAGATGCGTTGAACAATTTACAAGAAAATTGTCTTGTCGTACATCGTGCAAACTTTAAAGATTTTTACGGATATATATTCTCAAGTCGTGCTGAATTTTCTGCAGGTATGGTATAACAAAAAATTTTTATTTTAAGATAAACTTTGTATTGTTTTATAACATTTTACTTTTTTTCATTTAGCTAACGACAAATTGGATGTCAATACTGCTGAAGATTACGAATTAAGAACAATTAAAGGTATAGGAAATGAAACCGCACGTGAAATCATTAGCAAAAGGCCATACGTTGATGAAGAAGATCTATATAGTCAAGTCAAACAAAATAGGTGGTCAAGATAGGTGGTCAAGCAAAGAAAAAGATTAAGGTCGTAAGAAATATTGATTAGTGGGAACTGGGAAGTTTGATTTCTGCATAATAATAGGGGTAGAACAATTTCGTAACGATTTCATGTATTAATTATATTGCTTTGCGTAATAATTGTGGTAGAGCAATTTCGTAGTTTTTAACTGTAAATATTTTTTTAATAAATGTAACAATTTCGTGTAATAATATATTTTTTAAAAGTCTGCAATACATATGAAACTTTATTTTTTCCAGAATCTAGAATAGAATAAGTTTTAACACAAAAAAATAAACGAGAAGCAAAGACAAGTCTGTGAAACCCAAGCGGATGGTAGTCTGATATACGTTCTCCATTTTCCCTACAAAAGGTACAGACAGGAAAGATTGGTCTTAACGATATAGGGAAGATAATTCAAATTTGTTTCACGTTCAAAGAAAGACGATTTATTAGCTTTTAGTTACAAACGAAAAAAAGCTAAAGCGTGTCATATTGACAAAGTCATCGCACGTATGCGTAGAAATATTTAAACGTCTACAAACCGAAATTCACAGGAGTTCGATGCTATAACTATTCCTCATGAGGAAAATTTCTTACAATTCTGTTACTGTTGGACATTTTACCTTTAGACAACGTTTAATATCCAAAGCTGAAGAATTAACATAGACAGAGATATTAACGGAGCTCGGAGAATTTTTCTTCGAGCGGAGCCTTTGTGTTTACAAGCAGGAAATAATAGATAATACTTCAAATAGTATCATTTGTTGTTTGATAAATATGTGGATGGATTGTTTTAAAAAATTTAGAATGCTGTTCTAGATGCTCTTGTAGTGACTAATAGTGCAGAAAAAATATTCTCAATTTGTTTCGGAACGGATGGATTTTAATGGTTCCTTTTCTCTAGCGATCCACGCCATAATCGCATTTCTTTTACGTTGAATAGGAACAGTGCAAATCTGTACTAACATCCAATTAGTACGATAAATTACAAACTTTCCTCTTATTACAATCATAAATCTTTTCTTTTTTCGCCAAAGAATTCTCAAGTTATATTGATCTTTTAATTTGTTTTACGGTCTCATTCGTTATTTTTATAATGATGGGAATATGAAAAACTTTACCTGATTTAGCGAGGTCATTTGTATTTTTTGTTGAATTACAGAAAGAGTTTTTTACGAATTCTTCAGTTAAAAGTTTCTAATTTTATAAAATATTGTAACTAGTTTAATTAGTTAACGCTAAGAAAAATTATGAAAATTTTTTATACTAATGAAGAAATTTTTTAATTAACCAATCATATATTAATCTACCTTCAATAATTATATTATTACAAATTTCTTCAGTTTCAGCACAAGTATCAAATGATTATTCTCAAGAACAATTCTCAAGTTATATTGACGTTTTAATTGGTTTTATGGTCCCATTCGTTATTTTTATATTGGCAGATTACGAATATGATGATGATGGTTCAAAGACGTTGACATATGTAGCGAGGTCATTTGTTTTTTAATTAATGATTGGATTACAACAAGAAATAGCTTTCACAATTTCTTCAATTAAAATTTCTAATTTTATTAAAATATTACAACATATTGTAACTGGTTCTCTTGGACTTCAAGTTATCTTAAATTTATTTATTATAAAAGTACTGAAGAAAACAAAAGTATAAAGAAAGATTATGAAAATTATTTTAACAAAAACTTTGAAGAATATTTTAACTTAAACTTTGATAAAAGAATTCAACCTTTTTGAACCACTTAAAGAAAAAGTTGAAAGAATTATTCACCTTGAAAATAAAACTCATGAAATTAAATTTATCACTCTTGAAGAAAAATTTAAAAAACTTGAAGAGCTCTTTGAACAAAATGTGCCATTTCATCAAACTTACAGTAGCATCGTACTTATCAAACCATCTAAATCTACATCAGAGATAGCAATGAAAATGTAAGAAGTTTCAAGATGATAATGATAAGATAACGTTTAAATATTATGTTTATATTGATATAATTGCAGATTTTATAAGCATCAATACGTCTATTTACCCTCTTTAATTAATTGTTTACTTCTAAATTTAAGTGCTTTGTTAGTTATGTATTGATGTATAAAATTATTTTAAAAGAAGATAAAGGAAAATAATGCCGAAAGAGAAATGACTGATGAGTATACAAAAGTGTATAATTTTTCATCTAGGGTGAAATTGTAATTGCAATAATAAAGCAAGGTTGGATTCGTTAAATTTTAACTAGTCGTAGATAGAAGATTTTGGTGATTTTTTATTTAGGAGTTTTTATTATTAAAAATCCTTGTTATTTTTGTTATAAACTTGGATTTAACCATCTTTCAATTTTCAAAATCGATTGGTTTTCACCTCAAAATTCGTTTTGATTCGTAATATGATTGGTTAAATGTCACGTGATAAGAAAGAAAATTCGTCTGTACCATTTAAAATACAGTACATAAGGACTTTTAAGTGATTATCAATGATAAAGCCAATGAAACTGGCGGGTTTTAATTTTCTTGAGTTACTGAATTCTCACATATTAACTTATTAAAATGATGTAGACAATGTCGGAGCAATGGTCGGATCGCTATAGAAATTTTCCAAAAATGTGAGCGTCTTTATTATAAAAATATAAAATAACAAATTAACCTGTTCAAGTTTGGAATGTGGCTAAACAGTACTATAGAAACTTTTTCAAAAAATGAGTAAAAAAAGCATCCCAGTTCAGTAAATATTTTGCACGTTTCATTGGTTTAAGTTTTCACGTAATACGATAAATTTCATTTTTATATCATTCCTTTATCATTTTGTTTCGGCACAAGTGTCAAATGATTATTCTCAGGTAATATTGACGTTTTAATTAGTCATATGGTCCCATTTATTCTTCAAATAATTTTTACTGTAGAGTTAATATCGGTATTATTTAAATACAATAAACTTTGATTGGCATTCAGTTGTAACCCTGAAATTAATGGTCATGTGATAAATTCCGATTGATGAAAATTTCAGAATCAATATTATATTAGGAATAGGTCAGTTATATGAAATTCTTCTTGAATACATAGTGATCTGGTCATCAAAACCGGTTTTTAATTTTTGTGCGTTAATTTTATTATTTCCACCACCTTATTAAAGTCAAGTTTGGAACATAGACAAGTTTGGTGCTACAATAGTGTTATAGAAATTTCCAAAAATGTGAGAATAAAAAAGCCAAAGCCAAAAAAGTTCTGTAATATGTTACAATACTTAATAATGATTTTTTTTTTTTTTTTTAAAAAAAAAAACAATAATTTACTTATTTCTTCACCTTTTTTTTTTCGCTATCATTATATTAAAGATGTTTTACTTCTTTATTATCTTTATATCTTTCTTGCGTCCTTTTGTTTCGGCACAATTATCAAATGATTATACACAAGAAGAATTCTCAAGTTATATTAATGTTTTAATTGGTTTCATGGTCTCATTCGTTATTTTTGTATTAGTAGACAAGAATTAAAATTAATTGTAACTGCTGCGTAAATTTATAATTTTTAAAGCGAGAATAAGACAGAATTAAATTATAAAATTTTTAGTAAAAATTCCAAAACTACGATTTTGAATAATCTTCGATAATGTTCAAATTATTTTCATTAATCATTAAGTTTGAACCTTTCTTCAAATGTTTGACCGTTTGAAATTGCGGTTCAACGCTTTCTTTAAGAGTTTCATAAGGATGGAAAGATGCCTTACCCTTTATTAAACATGATTTTATTCGCAGCATTCCTATTTATAATTTTTTACTAATGATTTGAAAAATAATTTTATTATATATCTCATCTGTAGTATAGTTTCGGATTCCTTAATAGATATTTTTTATGTCCAAATTTTTCATCATTTATTAAATGAAGTATAATTATTTCTTCAATACAATTTAATTAATAAGTGAAACGATATATTTGCAGTGACTATTCTTATCATAACTATCATCTTTATTTCATTTTCAGCAAAATCTTACTATTAAGGAGAAAATACTTAAAATACTTATAAAAATCTTTTTAATTTTTAATACATATTTATTACATAAATTTTAACCATCTTAACACAATATTTTTTTTAAAAAAAATGTTTTTAAGAAACAATACAACATTATTAATTTCGATTGGACAAAACAGTTCTATTAACAAATATAACGCGTCCGGTAATATTCCATAAAAAAGTAATGTTCAGTGTACAGTATGAGTATGAAACTTTTAATTTACTGATATATTCGCCACTTTAATAATAATATATACTACAATTCGTATATCTCTGTCGAACTCTGACAAACTCAAGTCTCTGCTGGGATAACATTTTGTATTGGATTGATTCTTTCCGTTAGATAATTATCAGGTCCATATCTAAAAAAAATAGATAAAAATTAATAATTATTTTTCAGAATATATTTATATATACTGTATATACAAATATTTTTTACTTACGCTCCAATTCCTTGAGTATAAATTGCTAAAGTTATACCACCAGCGGCTTGAGAAACAGGATGATTAAATCTAGTAAAAAAAGCCAAAGTATAAAATATTTGCCAATGATGTGGATGAATACTTGCAAATTCACGATAAGGTTTGGGATCAGAATCTTCTTCTTCTTCTTCAGTCTGTTGTTGTTGTTGATTCTCAGTTGGTTCATTTTCATTTGTTGGTAATGGTTGATAATTATGATTTCTTTTAAAAATTCTTATTACTTTTAAATAACATCTTGTTAAAATTCGCGTATTTTGTTCTTGTTTAACAATATAAGCCAATATCATTAATATGAGAGGTATTAATAAACATCCTAAATACCAAGCTATGAATATATTATCTCTTTCTTTATATTTATTTTCTTCCATTAAACATATGGCAAGATAAATATGAAATCCGGCCATTGCTAAAACAGCACAAAACGCTGTTATAAATAAATTCCACATTCCTATTGGCCAATAACGCCATCGTGGTAATGATGTTTTTGTGAACGGAACTTCTGCCAATAGTCCATATGCAAATATTGAAATATAAAATGATAATATCATAATCCAACTATATATATATATATGAAAATTAAAAAAAAATTAATTTAATTTTTTTTTTTTGCATAACCACCAAGTACAAATACAATAAAATCATATCTAACAAGTGCCAACATATCACTAAAATGTTTTGCAGGTGTTTTATCATTTAACTCCCAATTAAAAAATCCTGCTATAATTCTATATAATGGATAAGCAATTATAACAAATAATATATTAAAATAAATATAAATGAGGGGTTCAAAAGAACAAAATTCCCATGGTGAATTACTAATTAAACCAATCGGAAATGGTGATTCCTGAGTTAAATTAAATGAAAAAGTTTTTTCAGACATAATATTAACTTTACACGTAATTTACTAGAAAATATGGAAAGGAAGTTTAAAAATGAAATAAAAATGAATTAAGAAACAAAGAAAAAAATCTTCAACATATAAAGGTTCGTTAGGTTACACAAAAAATCAAGTTTATCCGGAATTTTTATGCTAACTAAAGATATTTTGATATCACGTGATATACATTATTTTCAAGTAGAAAGGTATAATTAAACGATTACATATATAGAGAATCCATCAATTCTATTACAAATAATAAGTTAATTGTTCAATACATTATAGTAATTCTTATAAACTATTGAATAAATACGATGTTGTACCGTACATTTATAATTATATATTCTAAAATAAAAATTGAACAAATAAATTCGTAGATAGAATAATTTGGTCGTTATATTTAAATGTTGTATCTCAGGCGATATAATGTCTCATAACTACTGTATCTATACATACTTAACGGTGCTAGCATCATAAGAGAAAAATAATAAGCAATAAGATTCTAAATTATATAGACTTGGTCTATAAATTGACTGCCAAACGATAATATCGAATTCAAACTGTATATTCGATCTTTTTCACGACCGTCACGTGCAACATTTTATTATTCGGGATATCATTTTAGACGGATATTTTTAGATGGTTACATTAATTATATTACCCTTGTTTTATCCTTGGATTAATAGGGTAATGATTTACAATAATAATAATAGAAGCTTTTGTAGATAGTAAATAATTGGAGGAATTTGCACAAGGTCTATCTCCCTAAACGTTTTACTTAGTTTATTGTAGTCAAATTTAGTTAGTATTATTTATAAAACAATATTAAAATTTAGTTCACTATGTTGTTTACCGAAAGTGTAAAAAAATTGTGCATCGTTAAATTATATATAATTAGGTTGGTTTTACTTATTTCTTTATAGTCTTCTTTCTCTTTTTTTTTTTTTTTTTTTTTTTGAAAAAAAGTATTATGGTTATTTTCAGTAGAACATTATTTTTTCTTATTACGATTTTTACGCTATCAATAATTGTTACCTTTGCACAAGAACCTATAGAATACACTGAAAGTTTACCTGGTTTTCGTTTTGGAGGCTCAGATACATATAAGGATGGAACAATCATATTACTTTTTACTCAAGGAAATAATCAAACAAAATTTTTAGACACAAAAATTCATTTACGTATTATCTTTGTTAATAGAACAATTCTTCCTGTAGAGATTAACTATAACTCGCTTCCTGATTTTATTCCTCAATGTAACTCTATAAATCCTCTTTTATGTGCTACGACTTTAACACCAAAAGCATTAATAGAGAGATATGTTCTTATAGAATCCAGTCAAAATGGATCACCTCATAAACAGATAATTATTTCATGGGATGGAATAATATATGGGTACGAGTTTTAAGATTTTTTCTTTTCATATGCGTTTATAAATCTTTTAAGTGATTAATGTTAATGTTAATTTAGCGTATATGACATAAAAAATAAATATCAAGTGACAACTGATCTTGATTCCAAACAAGAATTTTTCATATCAGAATTACAAAATGCTACAACACTAATATGGAGAAGATTTATCGTTCAGTACGTTTTTTATATTACTCATTTTTAATATTTATTATTATATTATTATTATTTAATAATTTCATAATTTGTTAACTATCTTTTATAAGAAATCAAAATGAATTAAAAGAAGAGAATGGAACATATAACGTATTTAAAGATAATACTTTTATATATTTGTAAGGGTTTTTTTTTTAAAAAAAAATTTATTAACTAAATTAATTTTATTCAAGACTATAAATTTTTTATTGTTAGACAAAATACTTTTTCTCTGATTGAAGGAGGTTATGCTAACATAATTTTTACGCAAACGGCTGGTCCGAATAATAATACGATTCACGAAGTTTATGTCATATATTTTAAGAATAATAATAATTTTGCTTCATATAAACAATATTTACTTTACTCATCGATTTCTGGAAAAATTTTAAACCTTTCTGGAGGTAATATTAAATTATTTAAATTTAATTCTTTATTTACGCGTATATTAATAACTATATTCTTCTTATATATATATAGATTGTAAAAATTCATTTGATGGGTCTGGATACACGTTTTTTTTTACGGATATTGATGGTTCTAAACCAGATGTTATAAATTCACAAAATTATAATTATTTTCGAATTCATTTCTTATCAAATGGGGCAGTATCTTTTATTGATACTAACTATTTTGATGTAAGAAATACAACCGTTCTTGATTATTCTGCTACAGAAATTATACCATTATTCTATGGTGGTTATCTAGGATTTAATAGATTAAACCCTAATAATAAATTAATTATCACTTATGATGACAACATTAATATTAAACAAACGTTAAATTTAACATATAATTTTAACAAAAATGGGTTAAGTTCATTTATAATGCAAAAACAATCATTACTCTGGTTTTTTAATTATGATAATATTCAAACATGGAATATAAATTTTTACCCATTGAATTCAATTGAAATTACAGGTACTTATAATTTAAATAACTAAAATACTTGTGAGGTTTGATAAGGTTAATTTAAAGAAATTTTTTACTGTATTAGATTCCCGTTACACATATCAAAATCCCGCCATTAGTGGAACCTATCCAAAAATAGATGGAAATGTTCAAATTTTAAATCAAATTAATCAAATTAGGAAACCATTTGATTTTATTATAAATTACAACAGACCGATTATACCATCTAGTGAAAATATAATTATATATCAGTATTTAAATGATAATAATGTTATTTTAAGACAGAAAATTCCTGGACAGTCTGATCTTTGTCAATTAATTAATGATACAACTATATCCGTAAAAATATTTGTTAGTACATTACATCAATTAAATGTTAAATATGGGGTTAAAGTTGAAAATAACTTTGTTAAAACTCAATTCGATGATGAACCATTATTAGGTATTTCGGAAACGATTTGGACTTTTAATACATGTAAGTTTATATTCTTTATTTTAAAGTAAATAAGTAAATTTTTTTTTTAATTTTCCTCTTATTTATATATATAGCTTTGGAAGCTCCAGAAAAATCAGCAGGTAATTAGATGAAATACATTTTTTTTTTTGATTTCTAATATCAATAATTAATAATAATTTATTTTTTTAGATCAAGTTACAATTGCTGCTCGCTTAAATTTTGACAATGAAAATATTAATCTATATAATGAAATTAATTCTAAAGATAGTCCTTTATTCCAACAACTTAAAGATGAATTGGTTCAAGCGATTCCAATTGATTCAAAAAGATTGAAAATAAGCAAAAAAATTCAAAAAATTCAAAACAAAATTACAAACTCAGTATTAATTTCTATTACCATTATGCCACCTGCTACAAATGATGGTACTGAAAGAAATACGGATTCTGTATTAAATGATTTAAATGAATTAATTCAGCAAAAGAAATATAATCTTATATCAAGTGGAGATATTACAAAATTTTTTGATGAAAATTATGGAGTTCAAACAATACGTAAGCATTTTTTTTTTTTTTTTTTTTAAAAAAAAGATTTTTTTTGTAGTTACATTTAATCATTTACACTACATAATTTAACAGCTGATTTTTGGGAGAAATATTTAATTACCTTGATTATTATATCAGTGGCAATTTTATTTTTATTCCTTTTAGTATTTATTGCACGTAAAAAGTATCCTGAGGTAATTTATATTTTATATTTTGTTTACAGTGTATAAAATTTAAATACTTTAAATATTAATGTTTTATCAATATTTAATTATAGGGAAAAAATTTCGCAATCATAAAAATTATACTTATTATAAATGATCTAGTTTTAGACATTGCGTTTGTTGCTAAAAATGCAAATGATGTACCTAATTTATTCATTTTCAGGTAAAATAAAAATTTTTTTTTTTTTTTTTTATAGATGATTTTATAATTTTCTAATAATTGTTTCATTAATTTATTTAATTTTTAGCCTTCTTTCGGTTATCATTCCTATATTATTCAACATGATAATGGCAACTTATTCATTAGTTCAAGAAATTATTTATAATAAAGATTTTAATGCATGGAGTAAAGAAAATAATTTGATTGTATCAATATTTACAATATTATCAAGTACAGATGTTGAAGCTCTTCATATTCTTTCATCTAAAATTGCTGGATTAAATACTTTTTCTGCACCTCCATTATCAGCTAAAATATCAAAATTAATATTTTGGGTTGGTTTTATTAATATTTTCTTGGAAGATACTTTACAATTTATTATTCAGGTATAATGATTTATATAATATTACAATATCAATTTTATTTTTTTTTTAAAAAAAAAAATCAAGCATAATTTAACACTTTATAATATTATTTAGGTTTATTATCAAAATAATGTAATTATTTATTCCATTATTCCTACACTTTCACTTATTTCAAGTTTTATTATATTATGTAATGGGATTGTTGGGAAGATTTACTTCTTTTTTATAAATTATTATAAAAATAATAAGAGATCTAATAGAATATCAAAAGAACTTGAAAGTACTAACATTGATTATTCTTAATATGTTAATAAGAATAAAAAAAAAGTGTATATATATTGAAAATTTTAAATTTTTCAGTGATATTACAAAATTTCAATTGAAATAATATAAAAAAAAAGACAATTTAAAATATTCATCCCTGGTAGCATCACATCTAACCTATTTTTACTGTTTAAAAGACATTCACAAATTATTTTTTTTACATTTCCTTAAATATTACTGGAATCATAACTTTTGGTACATATTGACTTTAATAGTTAAATCAATAGCTTTTCTTAATAATTCACATAATTCTTCTGCATATATAATTTTTATTTGTCTTGAAAATTACATGTTAAAGGTTAAATAAAGAGTAAATGCTTGAAAGTACTATTAGTAATAGAATGATTTTCTTTCAAATTATTCAATTGGATTAAAAATTTTATTTAAAGAAAATTGATTAGTTTTCATAAAAAATAAAGTATATAAAGGTTTCAATCAAATCAAATTAGTCAAATTTATTTGATTCGGTCAAATCAAATCGATTTGGATTTGATTTGGATTTGATCAAATTAGTTTAGGCTAATTCGAATTTGATTTGAAATTGAATCAAATCTTATATTTTTAATTCAGATTCGAAGCTCAAATCTGGATTTGAAATTTGAATCTGATTTGCAAATCAAAATTTTTGAATCAAATTGAATCAAATTACAAATCAAATCTGAATCAATTCAATTTGACTGAATCATTTGCAGAACACTACAAAAGCTGAAAATTATGCTTGATTTACCATTTTTGCCTTATTCCAAGGTCCTTATTCAGTCTGTTGATGATAAATAAAAAGGCCTTGACAATTATATCTATTTCTGTATGATCTATAGCATCACAATCCAATATGTCATTCCCATCTATAATACTTCATATATATTATGAACAGACAAAATGAGTCACAATTTGTAGACAAATAAATCATAATAGGTTAAAAAAAATACTAATTCAGTGTATATTTTGCTGATTTGGTAAATACTAAAATACAGTTATTCATTAGCAAACAAGCATGCTTATCAATACATAATTTATAGACAGCTTCTGGATTACCTTAGTATACTTTCTGTAAAAATGAATGTATGAAATAAAAAGTGAATAATAACCAAAAAAAAATTTTTGTAAATGTATCTACCTTTTTACTTGTTGAAATAAATATACAGTTGTCCTTCCATATAGTTACCCTCTGTATAATCACAATTTTCTTATAAGCACATTTACATTAATCTCAAGTTACTAATAAACTTATTAAAAAAACCTTCCTTTTAATTATATCATATATAATTTTTATAGCCACACCATTTTTTTTTAGTCCTAAAGGGTGGGAGGATGACTGTATTGATATCTTTAGGAAGCTTCAGAACTTTGAGCATATCTTCATAATTTTTTGTCATAAAATATCTATCATTATTTGTAAACTAAGCTTTCATGTAAGCTGAAAGATCGATAAGTCTCAAAACACCATATCGTAAGATAGCCTTTTCAACGGATATCAGTCTTTTCTTCTGTTTATATCTTTTCAAATATTTAGACACATTCATTAAGAAGATACCTTCAACAGGTTTTCCTAAAGGCAGGCTCCAATTCTGTGAGTTTTTAAAGTAGGAATTGAAAACCTCATCAGGTAAATCAAATCTATTATTAATTTCTTTTTTTTTGTTACTAGAGTTAAGGGTTGAAAGATTTTAAAATGAGCACTTCTAAAGTGTATATTCTTCAAGAATCTATTAAGAATAAACAGAAGTATCATTGTCAATTGTAAACAGTCTGACATCATAAAACTGTCAAAACATGTTTAGCAATTTTATCAGGAATATCTTCATTATCATCTTTATCACTGTTATCATTTTCATCTTTCACTAATGATGAATTACCATCATCACTTTTCTCTGATAATGTAAGATTTATTGAAGCTGGTTTTGTAACTTGCGTCATCAGGCAATGTATCCTCCTAAAAGGAATTGTGAAGCATATTAGTGTAACTAAAGCAACATCTAAAATTATTTATGGTCTCACTTTCTTATTCGTCATCTTTGTCTTTTTCATCAGAGAAGTTGTAGTTTCCTAAAGAAGTAATAATATTCGTAATTAATAAATAATTTTCATAATTTATAAAAGTAAGAAAATATTTTTTCACAACTTTTAGTTAAAAAAACATCTATACCATTTCTAAAATTCTTTTCAGAGTTCTCTTTAAATTACCAATATTAAAAGATCTATTACTGATTGTTCTAATTTTTTGATCACTTTCTAAAAATATCAAATTATTAATATTAATCAATGATTCACTACCTAATTTTTTCAGTTTATGTTCTGCTTCCCAATTCTTGGCAATTTGATGGTCAAATCAAGTGTCCTAGTAAAGAAGAATCAAAAAGTTATAAACATTCTCAATTAGCATGTTCTTTATTTCTCATCTAGTTTTCAATCCCATCAGGTCAAATTAAAGACCTAAACATCAGATAAACTTAAAAATTGCTTGTGCTCTAATAGGACCAACGTCATGTCAACTTAAAAACTTGAACATCAGGCAAGCTTAAAACTTAAAGATTCCAAATATGCTACTTAAAATTAAATATATAATAAAACTTTACTTACCTTCTTATATTTGTTATAAAGAAGCTGTGCCTTTTTTTCCCTACTCCCTTGCTCATTATTTATAATATTTTCTAAGCTTTTTAGATATAAATTTATCTTCAACTGATATGACTTCTCTGTGCATTCATCCAAAAACCCCATAATATTCCAATCGGCAGACTTTTTATCAAAATATTCATGAATATATATACTTTCATCAGACATTTTATATTGTGGCGAAGTTGAATAATTATTTGGACTATATTGAGACGAACAATTGTCACTATTTGCTTCGCTCATAAATAAATGATGATTTGCAATGTATCACTTATTACATTATATCCATTTAACAGAAATCAGTAACACATTTATTGTATTAGATATAAGGTCACTGGTCAAAATCAAAAAAATCGGACATATGGAAAATCAGCTAAAAATCAGACCAAAATCGACTGACATTACAAATAGGCACATCTGATTGATGCCAATTGGACAATTTAATGAAAATCCAGAAAAAAATCATCATATTTGATTGACGGCTGATTGATGCT